GCGGAATGCTATCTTGGTGCTCATTGACGGTCTCTTGCGCCTCACTCCGATCGCGGTGCTCTTCCTCCTCGCGAGTGCGATCGTCTCGTACAAGATCAAGGAGGCGAACGCAGCCGCCTTTGGCTACGTCTTTTTGGCATTTCTGGCTGGCGTGATCTGTCATGTGCTGCTCGTGATGCCGCTATTGCTCTTTCTCTGGACGCGCTGCAACCCGTACAAGTACCTCCGTCATCTCGTGCCGGCGTACGTCTTTGCATTTGGGTGTGCCTCCTCGATGGCGACCTTGCCTGTTGCCGTCACGGTCGTGCACCAGACGCGCCAAGTCTCCCGGTCCCTTGCGCAGCTCATTTTGTGCCTCGGGACACCCACCAACATGAACGCCGCGGGGCTATACCAACCGGTCATGACGGTTTTTATGGCACACATGTCGGGCATCGAAGACGAGCTCCATGGTCCGCAGTGGGTCGTGCTTTTCTTCGTCGCGCTGATTGGCTCGATGGGCACGGCGCCCGTGCCGAACGCCGGTCTCGTCATGCTCTTGACGGTCTGGAAGACGGTGTTTCCGTCGGCGACGCAGGTCCCCCCGGCCTTTGCGATCGTCATGGCCGTCGACTTTCTCTTTGATCGCATCCGGACCATAACCAATGTCAACGGCAACATGGTGGTGGCTCGCATGCTCGCCGACCGCTTCAACGACGACCTCCACGACTCGATCGATGACACCGCCGCCGCCACCGACCACCCCATTCGAGTCTAGTTGTCGATCACGCCATTCGCGTCTACATGGCGTTGTTTTATATGTATTTACCCCTCGCTCCTGCGTAGCTACGTGTAGCTAGCTAAGTATCAATTACCTACTAGTCCCGTTTTATTGTTTTCTCTTTGGTGCACCATTGAGTGTGGTTGCTCACGGTGACCATGTGCAGCAATATGCTGGATTGCGCGTTCTTCTCACAACGGAACGAGATGTGCGGCTGTCTATGCACGTGATGCGCTGACGCGGTCCTAAGAGACGTGATGTTGCAATCGTCTGCACCTGGGTGAGTCGACAGAACTCGAGCAGCTACACGGGAGCTGCTGCCGAGCGAGCCAAGACAGTCCGCTTTCAAGTCCCGATAGCGAGCAAGATCGTTCGATGTGTTGGCCCCACCTTTCCAGAGGGGTATACATTGAGTTACCCGTGTCGATACCGAGACTCCTTTGATTGGGCACATCCATCAGCAGGTCTGCAACTGCGTGGACGTCGGAAAGAACCAATTCATTGGGTTCCTGCAACTGCATGCGATGCGTTTGAGATTGCGCGGCATCGCGTTTGCCTGTTGTACTTGCCTGTGTACTACTCTCTAGAAAATATGGGTGATGCAACCCAGGGAAAGAACGCAACGGCAACGCTCGTGGCTTTGCCCCTGGCACTCTACAATCTGTACGAACAATGGCATTTACCGATCAAGGACGACGATATTTCATTTCGGCCTACTACGTCAAATATCAGCAAGACGAGATGGCTCCAGGATGGCGTCGCATATTACCGTACTCGTGTCGTGTGTGGATGTCTGCGCTAACCATCCTGAGAACGAATCTACATCGTCCTCGGGACGTGTGGCTATGGCGCGACGTTCGATAGCAACATCTGTCAACAATTGCACCTGGCAGCATCCAGGTTTACAAATGGCAACTTCAAGTCCCACCTGCTGCAACGTTGCTGCTTCGTGAGGGATGTTTTCCGAGGTGTCTGGTTTGTTCCTACCGGTACGTTTGGATCAAGACACCAAGATTGTCCGTGACGACCTCTACACAAGATCGCTTGCATGCTAAC